TCGCTCCGGCGACCGCGCGGGTGAGCAGTGTGGGGGTGCCCACCCCACCCAGCGCTACTTTGGCAGCCTGACGGACGCTTGGCGTCACCAGTTCCCCGAGGCTAGTGAGATCCCCCACTGGGGAGAGCTGTCTAGGGCAGGTGTAGCTATCTATGATCTTGACTTTGATGCTATCCTTGCTGCCTTGTATGTTGTGACTATTAGTGATGAGGGTGACTGTTACCGGTGTTTCCCACCCGACCCGGGCATTGGTACTGCTGCGCTAGGTGCTAGTGAGGCTGCTGCTCTAGGTGCCAGCGCGTCTGCGCCCTCAGGTACTGGTGAGGCTGCGCTCTCATGTACCGCGTCGGCTTCGGCCTCCCTCACCTTCACACTTGACTCGGGGGCTTCTCGCTCCTTCTTTCGAGACCGCACCACACTCACGCCTCTTGGTCGGCCGGTTGCAGTCTCCCTGGCTGACCCCTCTGGGGGTCCTATCCTCTCTCACTTCTCCACTGTCCTCCCGTGTCCGGCTGCCCCCTCGGGCACCTTGTCTGGTCTTTACCTCCCCTCCTTCTCGACGAACTTGGTGAGTGGTGCTGACCTGCAGGATGCGGGGGTTCACAAGTTTACTCCTGCGAGTCAGCGGGTGACCCACTGCTCGGACGCCCGCACGCGCCCGCACCTGGCCACGTTTTCGCGTTGGCCGGGGTCAAGCCTCTACACCCTCACCACTACGTCCCCTCCTGTCCCTGCGACTGGCCAGGTAGCTGCGTCAAGTCAGGTGTTTGCTGCAGCTTCCAGGTCTGGTCCTGAGTCTGCCCCGTGCTCGTGTCGCCTCCTATCTCACGAGACTCTCCTGTGGCACCACCGTCCTGGCCACCCCTCCTTGCCTCGTCTTCGAGGCATGGCTTCCCGTGTCCTTGTCTCTGGTCTTCCCCGGTCCCTCCCTCCCCTTCCTTTTGGGCCTGGTCCTTCCTGTGTCCCCTGTGTCGAGGGGCAGCTCCGGGCTGCCCCTCACTCCTCTCAGTTTCCCCCGACAGAGGGCCCGTTGCACACGCTTCACATGGACGTGTGGGGCCCGGCCCGCGTCCGTGGATAGGGTCACGAGCGCTACTTCCTGCTGGTGGTTGACGACTACTCGCTTTACACCACGGTCTTCCCCTTGCGCAGCAAGGGTGATGTCACTGAGGTGTTGATCGACTAGATCCGCGCAGCTCGTCTCTAGCTCAGGAGGAGCTTCGGCTTGGACTTTCCTGTTCTGTGTCCGCACTCTGACCAAGGCGGAGAGTTCTCCTCTGGCCTTCTGCGAGTCTACTGTCGTGCGCGAGGCATCCGCTAGACCTTTACGCTTCCGGACTCTCCACAGCAAAATGGGATTGCTGAGCGCTGCATTGGCATGGTCATGGACGTCGCTCGTACGTCCATGATGCATGCGGCTGCCCCCCATTTTCTGTGGCCGTTTGCGGTTCGATACGCGGCGCATCAGATCAACCTTCACCCCAGGGTTTCCCGTCCGGAGACCTCCCCAGCTCTGCTGTGGACGGGGAAGGTTGGCCATGCGTTTGCGTTCTGTGTTTGGGGATCTCGGACGTTTGTCCGCGACTTGTTTGCGGACAAGCTATCCCCTCATGCTGCTCCCTCGGTCTTCCTTGGCTTCCCCCCTTACGCACCAGGGTGGCAGTTGTACCACCCCTCCTCTCGTCATGTTCTGTCCTCCCAGGACGTCACGTTCGACGAGTCAGTCCACTACTACCGCCTCTTCCCCTACCGCACTCCTTCCCTCCCCCCGCCACCGCACTTCCTTGTGCCAGGTCCCCCCCCGGTAGACCCCCTTCTCCCTCAGGGTCCTACCCCTTCAGGTGTGTCCCAGGTAGACGCTGTCGAGCCGGTCGAGGTTGCTGGTGACTCTGGTACTGCTGCGGGTGCTGAGTCTGGGGGTGCTGACTCTGGGGTTGCTGCATGCGAGGGTGCTGAGCCTGGGGGTGCTGAGTCTGGGGGTGCTGCGACTAGGGGTGCTGAGCCTGGGGGTGCTACGACTGGGAGTGCTGAGCCTGGGGGTACTGCGACTGGGGGTGCTGAGCCCGGGGGTGCTACGACTGGGGGTGCTGAGCCTGGGGGTGCTACGTCAGGAGCTGCTGAGCCTAGGGGTGCTGCGTCAATAGCTGCTGAGCCTGGAGGTGCGGAGCCTGCGACCGCTGGACATCCCCTTGTGGCTTCTGGTGGTGCTGGGCCTCGAGGTTCTCCGGGTGCTTCGTCTCGGCGAGAGCCACTATCTCCACAGGAGCTGCGCGAGTGGTTTGCCCGGCGCTGGAGGCGTACTGCTGGAGCTAGAGCTTCTTCGGCTGATGAGGGTGCTGGTGCCGCCAGTCCCGGAGGTGCTCGTCCTGGGAGTGCTAGAGCTGCTGGGTCTGCGGGTCTGGCTGGAGCTGCTGAGGGTGTTGGCGCTGAGACTACTGCTGTCAGTCCTAGCGGTGGTCTTGCTGCGGGTGCTGCTGGTGCTGCTAGAGGTCCTGCAGCTGGAGGTGCTGTTGGCGCTGGTGCTGTCGCTGAGGGTGCTGGTGCTGTCCCTGCTGTTTCTGGAGTTGCTGCGCGGCCTCGGCTGTACTTCGTTCCCTTCCTTAGGTAGGTTCTTGGTACTTCTCCTCCTGTAGAGTGTCCACCGTCTGTCCAGTCTCAGTCACAGTTAGAGCCCGCCTCCCCACTGCCTGCTCCCTCTCCTTACACTGGTCCTACTGGAGGTCTTGCTGAGCGTTATGAGCCTGCGTCTCGTCCCGCGTCGCTTGTTCGTGCTGCTCGCGCTAGTGGTCGCGGTTCGCGTCAGCATCCTCCTCATGTCTCTGGCACACACCGGATGTCTCTGCGTCCGTCCACTGCTCCTCTGCGTGCCCCTTTGCCTTCTGCTCCTGAGTCCTCTCTTCCTGCGCTGGCCGACCTGGAGTCGGACTCTCTTCGTGCTGCCAGTCCTACTGTCACGCGTCTCCTTGCTACTGTCGTCACTGAACCCTCTTTTGAGTCCACTGCTGCGTCTGCTCTTGTTGCTGAGCTCGTCGACTTTGCTGCTCGCTGCTAGTCTTGTTACTGAGTCTGCGTCTGTCTGTCCTCCGTCCGTCGGGGGTGAGTGTGCTCTTGGCACGGACGTCCTTGAGGACAGGCACGAGGAGTTCCAGTGTCTGGTTGCTGCTTCACCTCATCTCGTGTCCGTACTGCTTACCCGTGAGGGAGACCCGGATGCACTTGACATCCCGACTCCGCACTCTTACGCGGAGGCCGTAGAGGGTCCCTACTCCTCTCAGTGGCAGGCAGCAATAGATGCAGAGATGCCTTCCTGGAAGTCCACAGGCACCTATGTTGACGCGGTTCCCCCTCCTGGGGCGAACATCGTCAGTGGCATGTGGATCTTCAGGGTGAAGCGGCCGCCGCGCTCTCCACCTGTCTTCAGAGCGCGGTACGTGGCTTGTGGCTTCAGTGAGTGGCAGGGAGTTGACTACTTTCAGACCTTCTCTCCCACCCCAAAGATGACCACTCTTCGGGTGCTGCTACACATAGCCGCTTAGCCTGACTACGAGCTTCACTCCCTTAACTTTAGCACTGCTTTCATGCAGGGTACCCTGCACGAGGAGATCTGGCTGCGCCATCCATCTGGCTTCACTAGGAATTTTCCTCGTGGCTCCCAGTGGAGCCTCCGACGGCCAGTCTACGGTCTCCGCCAGGCACCGCGCGAGTGGCATGACACACTGAGGACTACGCTTGCGGCTCTTGGGTTTGCTCCCTCTAATGCTGACCCGTCGTTGTTTCTGCGCACCGACACCTCTGTCTCGCCGTTCTACATCCTCGTGTACGTCGACGACTTGGTCTTTGCCACAGCTGACACTGCTGGACTCGCCCACCTAAAGTCCGAGCTGCAGAAGAGACACACGTGCACAGACCTGGGTGAACTGCGCAGCTACCTTGGCTTGCAGATCACCCGGGACAGAGCACGCCGCACCATTACCTTGACTCAGTCACACATGGTGCAGCAGGTCCTTCGGCGCTTCGGCTTCACGTACTCCTCGCCTCAGGCCACTCCTCTGTCTACTCGCCACTCGCTCTCAACTCTGCCTTCGGATGAGTCCGTAGAGTCAAGTGGCCTGTACCCAGAGCTTGTTGGCTGCCTCATGTACCTGATGACCTACACACGACCTGACCAGGCATACCCTCTTAGCATTCTTGCACGCTATGTTGCTCCTGGGAGACATAGACCAGAGCACATGGCTGCAGCAAAGAGGGTGTTGCGCTACTTGTGCAGTACGTCGGGCATGGGGCTAGTGCTTGGAGGGCGGAGTCCAGTGGTCCTCACTGGGCACGCGGACGCTTCTTGGGCTGACGACCAGGCTACGCAGCGGTCGTCACAGGGTTACAACTTCAGTCTTGGTTCCGGCTCTGTTTCGTGGCGGGCTACTCGCTCGTCTTCTGTTCTCGGCTCCAGTTGTGAGGCTGAGATCTACGCCGGGGCCATGGCTGCACAGGAGCTACGCTGGCTCACCTACCTGCTGACTGACCTCGGAGAGCCGCCTCGTTCTCCTCCAGTGCTGTACGTAGACAACAAGGCCATGCTGGCCTTGTGTCGGGAGCAGCGCCTGGAGCACAGAACGAAGCACATTGCTCTCCGCTACTTTCTTGCTCGTGAGCTACAGCAGCGTGGTCAGTTGCGACATGCGTACGTGGCCTCTGAGGCCAACACTGCTGATGTTTTCACCAAGGCACTTCCGCCTTGTGATCATCAGCGCTTCTGTTCTCAGCTGGGTCTTGTGCCTGTCTTGCCTCACTTGCACACCTCTTGATCTTGCTAGTACTCTTACATATATATATACCTGCTCTTGCTTGTTTAGTCTTATATATATGTGCACTCCTGCATGTGAACTGACCTTGTGGCCTTTGACCTTGTGCTCGGTCTGTGTGGTGACGTTGTGATCCACCCTGAGCTTTGCTTTGCTTTGCTTGACTGGTCTTGTGACCCCCTGTTCTCCCACACTTTGCCTATGGGGGTGTGTCAAATTTTAATATTGTGTAGGCTATAGTGGGGTATCCCATATGGGGTACACATTTCTAGGGTTGCATATTTGTATCACTTCCATTCCTTAGTGGATTCATTCTCGTTCTACTTTCCTCAGAAGAAGAAGAAGAAGAAGAAGAAGAAGAAGAAGAAGAAGAAGAAGAAGAAGAAGAAGAAGAAGAAGAAGAAGAAGAAGAAGAAGAAGAAGAAGAAGAAGAAGAAGAAGAAGAAGAAGAAGAAGAAGAAGAAGAAGAAGAAGAAGAAGAAGAAGAAGAAGAAGAAGAAGAAGAAGAAGAAGAAGAAGAAGAAGAAGAAGAAGAAGAAGAAGAAGAAGAAGAAGAAGAAGAAGAAGAAGAAGAAGAAGAAGAAGAAGAAGAAGAAGAAGAAGAAGAAGAAGAAGAAGAAGAAGAAGTTGAAGTTGAAGAAGAAGAAGAAGCGCTGACTGAACACGGTCCTCACCTGCTCCCAATCACAATTGACAGAAGAAGCCATCTCCAGCTCGAGACAAGGGTAGCAGCAATCGACGACACCGACTTTGAAGAAGGATAAATAACTCAAATTGAAGATTGTCGCCCAAGAATCTTGCCAACTCCCCCAGAAGGACCGTTGGAGCTCCCCGTGACAATCGACACCACCGTCATCGGCGACTCCAGCGGGACATACCACGACGCATGATTCAAAACAGTCCAAGTGGCAGCAGTTGAAGTCCTCGTACCAGAAGAGCCTACGAAACAAGTGGGAAAAGAAACTGCAGCGAAAATCGTAGCACGAGAAAAGGAGATCTACACTCGCACATGAGGATACCGCGCCAATTCTGACATCTGGCTGCACCATGTGTGATTGAGTCAGGGTAATGGTGCGCTGTGCTCTGTCCCGGGTGATCTTCAAGCCAAGGTAGCTGCGCAGTTCACTTAGGTCTGTGCACGTGTGTCTCTTGTGCAGCTCAGACTTCATGTGGGCGAGTCCAGCAGTGTCAGCAGTGGCAAAGACCAAGTCGTGGACGTACACGAGGATGTAGAACGGCGGCAGAGAGGTGTCGGTGCACAGAAACAGCGACGGGTCGGCTGTAGAAGGAGCAAACCCAAGAGTCGCGAGTGTAGTCCTCACTGTGTCGTGCCACTCACGGGGCGCCTGGCAGAGACCGTAGACTAGCCGCTGAAGGCTCTACTGGGTACCACGAGGAAACGACCAAGTGAAGCCAGGTGGGCGGCGCAGCCAAATCTCCTCGTGCAGGCTGCCCTGTAGGAAAGCTGTGCTGAAGTCAAGAGAGTGCAGCTCGTAGTGCGCTGAGCGGCTATATGCAGCAGCACCCGAAGAGTGGTCATCTTCGGGGTGGGAGAGAAGGTCTGAAAGTAGTCAACTCCCTGCCACTGACTGAAGCCTCGAGCGATGTAACACACCTTGAAGACAGGCGGAGAACCCTGCGGCCGCTTTACCCTGAAAATCCACATGCCACTAACGATGTTCGCCCCAGGTGGGGGGAACCTCGTCAACGTAGGTGCCTGTGGACTTCCAGGAAGCAATCTCTGTGACCATGGCTGACTGCCACTGAGAGGAGTAGGGACCCTCGATCGCCTCAGCGTACGATCGAGGAGTCGGGATGTCTGGTGCATCCGGGTCTCCCTCAGAGGCTATCAGCGTGGACACGAGCTGGGGCAAAGCAGCAGCAAAGCATTGGAACTCCTTCTGCCCGTCCTCAAGGACGTCCGCGCTAAGAGCACACTCACCCCCGACGGACAGAGGACACACAGACTCAGACTCAGCAACGAGACTAGCAGCGTAGTCTAGACGATAGCGAGCAGCGAAGTCGACAAGCTCAGTAACGAGGGCAGACGCAGCAGTGGACTTAAAGGATGGGTCAGTGACAACATTAGCCAAGAGACGCGTGACAGAAGGACTAGCAGCACAAAGAGAGTCAGACTCCGGGTCAACAAGAGAAGGAAGAGAGGACTCTGGAGGAGACAGCAACGGGACACGCAGAGGAGTAGTGGAAGGACGCAGCGCCATCCGGTGTGTGCCGGAGACCGCAAGAGGATGCGGACGCGCAGTACGACCACAAGTGGGAGCAGCACGAATAGGCGATGCAAGACGAGACGCAGGCTCACGACGCTCGGCAAGACCTCCACTGGGACCAGTGTAGGGAGAAGGAGCAGGTAGAGGGGAAGCGGGCTGTAACTATGACGGCGACTGGACAAAGTGTGGACACTCTAAGGGAGGAGCACGACGAGTAGAGGGCGGGAGACCACGAACCTGCTCCAGGAGCGGAACGAAGTACGGCCTCGGCCGCGCAGCGCCTCCAGAACCAGCAAGGACAGCACCAGTACCCCCAGCGGCAGCACCAGCGCCAGCAGCACCCCCAGCTCCGACAGCGCCAACTCTAGCACCCTCAGATGCCTAGCGCCAACAGCACCGCCAGCGCCAACACCCCTAGCAGCTCCAGCTCCAGCAGCTCCAGCTTCATCAGCACCAGCTCTAGTAGGACCATCAACTCCAGCAGCCTCACCAGCACCCCCGGGCGAACCAGCGCCAGTAGAAACACCAGCGCTAACACCCCCAGCAGCTCCAGCTCCAGCAGCACCAGCACCGCTGACACCCACAGCAGGATCAACTCCAGCAGCCCCAGCAGCACCCCTAGTCCCAGCAGCTTCAGGACCACCAGTACGAGCACCTCCAGGACCAGCAGCAACAATAGCACCTCCAGCTCCAGCAGCACGTCTCCAGCGGCGGGCAAACCACTCGCGCAGCTCCAGATCCGGCACCCCTAGGCTCAGTGCCCCTAGTCTCAGCACCCCTCGACTCAGCACCTTCAGATCCGTCACCGGTAGGCTCAGCACATCTAGCAGCACCAGAGTCAACATCTACCTCGACAGGCTCGACTGCGTCTACCTGGGACACACCTGAGGGGGCAGGACCCTGAGGGGGGAGGGGGTCTACCAGGGGAGGACCTGGCGCAAGGAAGAGCGGCGGCGGGGGGATGGGCGCAGTGCGGTAGGGGAAGAGACGATAGTAAGGCACCGACTTGTCAAAGGTGACGTCGTGGGAGGACAGAACACGGCGCGAGGTGGGGTGGTAAAACTGCCACCCAGGCGCGTCAAGGGGGAATCCCAGGAAGACACAGGGAACAGCACGGGGGGACAGTTTGTCCGCAGACAAATCGCGGACAAATGCCGCAGATCCCCATACCCGAAACGCAGACGCATCGTTCCCCGCCACCGCAAGGCGGGGGAGGTCTCTGGCAAGGAGACCCGGGGCTGAAGGTTGAGCTGATGCACAGCGTACTGAACCGCAAATGGCCACAGAAAATGGGGGGCAGCCGCATGCATCATGGACGTACGAGCGACGTCCATAACCATGCCGATGCGGCACTCAGCAATCCCATTTTGCTGTGGAGAGGCCGGAAGCGTGAAGGTCTGGCGAATGCCCTTTGCACGACAGAAGGCTCCTATACGGGCAGAGGAAAACTCCCCACCTCTGTTCGAGTGCAGACGCACAACAGGAAAGTCCGAGCCGAAAATGTCCCTGAGCTGGAGACGAGCTGCGCGGATCCAGTCGATCAACACCTCAGTGACGTCACCCTTGCTGCGCAAGGAGAAGACTGTAGTGTAACGCGAGTAGTCATCAACCACCAGCAAGACGTACCGCTCGCGCCCTTGCCCACTGACGCGGGCGGGGCCCCACACATCCATATGGAGAGTCTGCACCGGAGCCTCTGTTGGAGAAAACTCGAAGGAGTGAGGGGCGGCGCCCTATCGCCCCTCAACGTAGGGGACACACGTAGGGCCAGGCCCCGGAGGTAGGGGAGGGAGAGATCGGGGGAGACCACAGACAAGGACACGGGAGGCCATGCCTCGAAGACGAGGCAGGGAGGGTTGACCAAGGCAGTGGTGCCAGAGGAGAGTCTGGTGGGACAGTAGATGACACGAGCAGGGGGCAGATTCAAGACCAGACCTGGACGCTGCAGCAAACACCTGACTCGACGCAGCTACTTGGGCAGACTCACCAGTCGGAGGAGACTCAGTAGTAAGGGTGTACAGACTCGATCCTGGCCGGCGGGTGAACGTGGCCAAGTGTCGGCCTGTCCAAGCACACGTGCAGTGGGTCACTCGCTGACTCGCACGAGTGAGCTGGTCAACCCCCCTATCCTGTAGGTCCGCTCCACTCACCAGGTTCGTAGAGAACGAGGGGAGGTAGAGACCTGACAGGGTGCCAGAGGGGCCTGCCGGGCACGGTAAGACAGTGCAGAAGCTAGCAAGGACAGGACCCCCAAAGGGGTCTGCCAGGGAGACTACAACCGGCCGACTAAGCAGCGTAAGAGTGGTGCGGTCTCGAAAGAAGGAGCGGGACGCACCCGAGTCAAGGGTGAAGGTGTGGAAGGCCTGAGCCGATGAAGTACCTAAGAGAGCAGACTCACCAGCACCTGGGGCAGCAGACGCACTGGCACCGGGGGCAGCAAACGCACTAGCACCTAGAGCAGCAGCCTCACCACCACCTAGCGCAGTGGCCTCAATGCCCGGGTCAGGCGGTACACTCAGGCAATAGTCACCCTCAACACTAGTAGTCCCAGAATACATGGCAGCAAGGATAGCATCATAGTCAAGATCAAAGATGGCAACTCCCGCCCTAGACAAATCTCCCTAGCGAGAGATCTCTGCCGCCTCAGGGAACTGGCGACGCCACACGTCCGTCAGGCGACCAAAGCAGCGCTGGGTGGAGTGCGGCCCCCCGCACTGCTCACCAGGTCGGTCGACGGTACGGAGGACGTAAGTGCAGGGACCAAAACCCCCACCGCGCTGACGCGCAGTGTACCACTCACGAAGCTGCTGAGGGGACAGGGTCACACCACTCCGCTGCTACTGGCGCGGGCCACCACCTCAGCCACTCCTCTGCGCAGAGTCGCGACCCACTCCACCACCGCCGCCGTCGCCACCTCCGCCGCCTCCTCCACCTCCGCCTCCTAAGCCACCTCTGCCGCCTCCGCTCCCTCTGCCACCACCGCCGCCTCCGCCGCCTCCACTGCTGCCGGCGCCGCCGCCACCCCCGCCACCACTCCCACCACCACCCCCACTCCCTCCACTGCCTCCACCACCACCTCCACCGCCCCCGCCAGCCCCTCTAGCGCCCTTGCCCCCCTTGCCCCTGCCGGGGCGGCGTCTCCTGCTCAGGGCAGACGCAGCGCCGACCGACTCGAAACCAACGAGGTCGGCCGCAGCAGCAGATGCAACAGAGGGCAAGAGGGGGGAGGGAGAACACCCCTCAAAGACGGGGGTGCGAGGGTAACCACGAGAGGCTCCTAGAGTGACTATACTCTTCTTTGCTCCTAGGAGGGCCTTCTCGAGGAGTTCAACGGTGAGAGTGGTGGGGCAAAGTGAGAGGAAGTGGTCCCTGACTACGCGGAGAGAGTCAGGGAGCCGGGTGACTATGTAGTAGAGGGTGATGTACATG